GACGCAAGAGGATAGTGAATGTGAGGCCAGCCTGGGCTACACAGCAAGACCATGCCTCAAAAACCAACCAACCAACCCAGAAAACTACTTTGTGGGGATGGAGCTATAACAAAGTGGTTGGATGTGTCTTCAGTGCGTAAGGCCCTAGGTTCAACCCCAAGCACCACACACAAATAAAATAAATAAGATTTACTTTTTGCCCTCATTGCCAGAAAGCTATAATCAATCATACTTGATACAAACATTTTTCCCTCTTTTTTTTTTCTGTCTTTAGTTTCCTGTCTCTGTGTCCTAGTTTATTATATGCCCTTTCAGAAAAAAAATTCAAATACACAAAGGAAAATGCAGAAAGTGGGATTAAAAACTTTTTATTATAATTTCTTTAAAAACTTATCCCTAAAATACCACTATACATATTTTACACTGTTAAATGTCTTTTGGCTAGATGGCTACATTTTAAAATATAAAAATGCTTATTTTCTTTAAAAATGTTTTAAGTGATTATATTTAAAATTGTCCCTGGCTATTCTCTACTGTCAAAAAAGTTTGGATCACACAAAGATAACAAATATCTATATATATTTTAAGTTTTAAAAGATTAAAACTTTTATATTCTTCAAGATTAACAAGCAAAGCTTTAGTTCTGATTTTCACAGCATATAGCATAATTTAGAAATTACAAGTATTTAAAAAGTCCTCCACCAGGCATGGAGCAAAACTTTGTGAACTGCAGCAAAAAACTGAATGACATGAAAAGGAAGACACTGAATTTTCAATACCTCCACTGTGAGAAGGCTGAAGGACAAAAGATTTTCCTGAATTCAAGAAACTAATCCAAGTTGGGTGCCAGTGCTTGACACCGATAATCCTAGGTACTCTAGAGGGAGATCAAGAAGACTGCAATGGAAGCCGTCCCAGGCAAATAGTTCTTGAGACCCTATCTTGAAAAATACCCAATCAAAAAAGGGCTCAATCAAAAAATAGCTCAAGTGTAGAGTGTCTGTCTACCAAGTGAGAAGCAAAAAAACCAAACCAAAACAAAAAAACCCCAAAAAGCAACAGTTGCCATTGGAAATCAATTTGTTAGCAAAAAGAAACCATTCTATTTACCAGTAGAAAAGGAGTCCCTGAAAACTATCAATATAACTTGAGAATTTTGAAAATGGTGAAATCTAGGAACCAGAATACCTGCTGTGAACTTGCCATTAGAGGGAATTCACAGTTATCATTGACAGCAGTATTGTTCTGCAAGGCATCGTAAATGATTCCTGCATACCTGGTCACACACACTCTTAGGTATTCATCAAAAAAAAAAAGGCCAAGCATTTTGGGTAATCTGGAAGGTTTCAATTAGTCACCTCCATGGTGAGTACTGGGAACACAGGCAGGAAGGAGAGTGGGTCACAATTCCTCATGACAATGTGCAGGAAATGTACACCTGGGCAAAAGAACTTCTCCACCCACACTAAGCATGGACTATAGATGAAAAAGGGCAGAAGTTCCCTCTCTAGGACTTGTGAGAGACAGCACTGAGAAAAGTGAGAGGACAAGTGATACCCCCTACCCCAGAATCTTTATGCAAATCTACATTACATTTTCCTTAACACTTTACCAATATGTAAAATTACCTTTTTACATGAAGCTCCTTTTCAGAATTTTAAGCTTCATAAAAACAGTCATATGTTTAAACTCAGAGAAGGTGCAGATCCTATTCTACTATGTCTTTCTAAACAATTCTCTCTACACAGACCCTGTTCCTAACACATTCCATCAAATAACTTTTCTTCAGAGAAAGGAACAATGAATGTTGTCAGTAAGCCAACTCTTCCTACATTTGTCTTAGCAAATAAGATCAGGACGGCAAGTAACAGCTGTATTGCCACTTGCCCATCCCAGCATGGCAGACATTCCACTTGCCATATTCAGCCACTGAGTACAGGGGAGACCCCAGGATCCTAACCACAGAGCTCCAGGCAATGCTCCTGGGCAGGCTAGAGCCTACTTGCTCCCTGAGCACCGAGGCCAGACTTGACTGTTAGGCTAGATTCACATACTTCAGCTGTGTATTTGAATATGGTATTTCCCTATTCATACTTTACAAGGGGTTGAGATTATAATTTTAGGGTTAGGATTTTTGTTTTATCTTCAGTATGGATTACAGGGAATTCTAGAAGATATGTTTAAGGAATCTGAGGTCTCTGGAAAGTTGTCTGGAATTTTAACACTGTTATGGCTTTGCCATAGACCCATCTAAAAGACAGTTTCCAGGAATGTGAAATGAAGGGAAAAACAAGTTACCTCTGTCTTGCTTCAAGGAACAATAACAGAGAACAGAGGAAACAATCTAACCTCAAAGTACTTTTCTGGATCAAGGACAGAAGACATAACTTCTTTATTTAAGACTTAGAAACTAAATATTGTCTTAAAGATCTTCCAACAAGAGGGTATAATTTGAACCTTGTAAAGCTTTTTCTTTTTCCCATAATTTCAAAGGACTCAATTCTCTGCTTGTCCTTCAGCAATAAACACTCCTTCCTACCCCCTGGACTATTCAATCCCCCTCATTTCTGAATCCCAGTCTGCTTATTAATTTCATTTAAAAGAGCACTACTTCACCTCCCAAGTGTATACAAACAGTAACTAAAGGCACACTTATATGAATCTTTCATCTCTTCTCCATTAGTACAGCTACGAACAGGCCACATGTCCTTATGCTACAGCCATAAAATTTCACTGAAATTTGAATGTCACATAATGTTCACGGTGTCATAAAGTATTTGTCTTTTAATTTTTTTCAGTCATTAAAAATGCAAAAACCATTCTTAGTTTGAAGGTAATATAAAAAGTGGTTTGCGTGAATCTGGCCCTTGATTTAGATTCCCCTCAAATGAGCATTCTATTGAATATGTTCTATTTTACATAAAATTCTAACTATTTGACTTGGGATTATCTCTTCACACTCTCTCGTTTTAATTTAAAATGTAGGACTGGAGGTGTGGCTCAAGTGGTAGAACACTTGCTTTGCCAGCGTGAAACTAAGTTCAAATCCCAGCCCCCCCCCCAAAATTACAAAATAAAATGAAGTGTATTTAGAATAATTGATTTTTTTGTTCATTGTAAGGATTCTCTTGCATCTGCCTTGGTTAAATAATTAATCCTTTACATAACCCGGGGTTACTTACCTAGATATCTGAAAATTTCCATGTTATAAAATATTATACTTCTAAGGGCAATTTGTTTAGATTCTCTGGTTACTATAATTTCCCTCACAGTAGACATTTTGTTCTGGACTAAAACAATCTGTTTCTCATATCTTTCAATATCTTTGGGGTATGAATAATTTAGTAAAAGTAGAAAAAGAATAAATAGTTGACAGAATGATTGAAAGATTCTCAAAGGCAGAGAGATGAAAAACTATCAAAGCCTTTTTACAAAACTTATTTCTCTAAAGGGAGTGAGCAAGCCAAATGTCCATAAGGGAGTTAAGATTAAGTACTGGTAAACTACTGAGAAAACAGGAATTAAGCATGAACTGGTAAGAGAAAAGTATGTTTTGAATGATGAATAAAAGCATCTTCTCCTTAGAGTAATGAGAGCATAAAGGGGGTTGCAAGGAGAGGGTAAAGTGACTGGTGGGTCTCCTCTGTCCTCAACCAATTGAGAGATAAGGATGTTTTCCTTATCTGAACATCTGAAAACAGATGTTTTCATACATCTGTTGGTTAGATCCAGGGCAGCAGGAACATCAGGTACCTGGTTTGAAAAGAGCTGAATCCAAATGTTTCAGCTAACATTTTCTAACCTTGCAAGCATTACTACCACCCACCTTCCAGGTCTCTACTGGCACAACCAACAACAATGTGGAAACTATCCAGAGAATTTAGGTAAGAAAAATGTGAACCATCTGGATTTTCTTCTTTCAATCTTCAGAGGACTGTGCACTCTCCTGGAACATCATATGAGCCTCTCCACTACCTCTCATCATAATCATGCAGGACCTCTGCATTCTTTACATTTGGAGTTGACAAAGCAGCCACATAAAGTATACACAAACCTTAAGATGAAACCAACCAAGAACTCCAGTGAATTTCCTGTTTGCAAACCTACTAAATAAATTCATAGGTCTTATTCCCACTTTTATGGCTAAACTGGAATGGAAATGGAATGTCTTGGGAGCCTATTTCCCACATACTTGATTTTTTGCAATGTAAAGTACTCCATTTTCAAACTTACTGATAAAAAATAAGGTTGTAAACTTGTACTTTTAGCTTGTGAATTTCATTGAAATGATACACAGTGCACTTTTTATAATAAGGAGAATTACCTTCAACATGATTTATAAAATAGGTCAGTATTCGTAGGCCTTAATACTTCCTCAAAAGATGAATAAAAGAAATTTATCCAACTAATTTATTTTAAAGAAGGATAGGCTGATAAAGTGATTCTGTGAAAATTGAGACAAACAGCAAACATGGGATCTATATTTCTAGTTTTCTCTTAAAAACAAACAAAAAAAGGGTAGACAACTAAGCCGTCAGTTGTCACTATTACATATGGCTTCACCCAGCCTGTGGTGGTATCTTTGTTTTATAGGAACAGAATAAAACATGTGCCATCTGAATCTTTATTCTCTGTCACGGGGATATATGTGTACTTGAGGAGGCAAACCATTAGATCTAGTTAGATGAAATACAGCAGTCAGTGCATCCAATATATGGCTTCTTAGTTTCTAGATAACTAGGACTTTAAACACTATGCACAATGTCACATACTAGTCTTAAAAAAGAGAAAAAGAGTAAGAAGGAAAAGATCCTATATGTTAAATAAAGCAAAAAAGCATTACTCATAGGAAGAAACCAATAAAAAGCTCGAAACAAAGACTTCTCAAAATAAAGCCTCACCCTCCATGCTCATACCCAGAAGTCGTGTAGAGCTAAGTCTATTAGGACAGGGCAGAGGAGGTTGTTCCGCTTCTCTTACCAATTCACGTTTATACTTACATCTTGTCTTGACCAGCACCAACTCGCAGAGTCAATCTGGGGATAACTGGACTTGGGGCTGGAATGACAGGTTCCACTTTTATCTGTGGAAGTGAGTACACTACAGTTATTTATATACAAAGGTACCTCCTACCTCTCCTACTTTCCCACCCCCACAAATTTAATAAACAAGTTTAAGCCACAGATATGGCTAAAATGCTAGACATAAAGACAACCTGGGTTTATTTAATAAGTGAAGGCTGACAACATGAGAAATTCTATGAACTTGAATGACACCATGTAAATATGGCAGTTGCTTCTTTTTCATTAGTTTGGGTTGATTTCTCAAGTTATTATTATATTGTTAAAATATATATACTTAAATTTTTTCTGGTGGGACTGGGGTTTGAACTCGGGGCTTCACACTTGCAAGGCAGGCACTCTATCACTTGAGCCACACCTCCAGTACATTTTGCTCTGGTTATTTTGGAGACTGGGTCTCTCAAACTATTTGTCTGGGCTGGCCATGAGCTGTGATCTTCCTGACCTCAGCCTCTCAAGTAGCTAGGATAATGGCACAAGCCTCTGGTGCCTGGTTATTGTTAGAATATTTTAACAAAAATTGCTATCACAACAATTGATGGAGAATTTACATAATTGCCAGACTAAACATAAATAGAGAAACCTGCAATGATATCTTTCCTATAAGACATAATGTATCTACTTAAGGGACTTAACAAATGTTAAACTCATAAGTGTTAACATGTAAGAAAGCTGAAATACCAAGTGTAATTACAGCATTAAACTATTCTATTTTTGGCTAATAATATTTCATATATTTTATCTGAAATTGCTGCAAAAGAAAAAAGCATATATTCTCTTTTCAGAAACGATTTAGGTAAAGGCAGTGACTGCTGGAAAAGTTGAAGAATCCACAAATATTTGAGCTATCAGAAAAAAAGTATAAAACTTAAGTATGACATTAAAAGGTCTTTTCACAATTTTTGTTGGAAGCTCTTATGCTATAATAAATATTTTGAATAAACAAACTGTGAAGAAAAACTCTGTAGTTCCAAATTATTATTTATGTCAGAGTTTTCTGGTGTGAAATTGAACAGCACTTTTGGTGAGATAATTCTTCATTGTGCAGGACTGTCCCAAGCACCACCAGATGTTTAACATCAGTGGTCTTGGAATACTGGATGCCAGCAGTTCACTGGCAAATCAATGACAACTACCTGCAAATCATTGATTTATACATTGCAAACTCAAGAATTAAAACATGATGGAAGAATGTGATGACTTTAAGAGGGAACAAATATATAAAATACAGCCCAATATATATTATATAGTTGTTTGCACATGGATCAAATGTACTACCTTCTCATATGCATTTACCTGTCTCCTCCTAGTTTTTTAAAATCTATCATCACATCAAGATCTGCTATGACTATTCTTTTGAACAGTGCCAGCATGCAAGGTATGCTCGATAAACATTTGTTGAATTAACAACTTATCTTGAATGTACCCTCAGTTCTCTTGCCCTATTCCATTACTCTTTCACAATCAACCTAAAACCATCTGCCAGTGCACTGGCAAAAAAATTAAGATACAAAAGCTCTCCACTTCATCTATGCCTTCACTACTGTTTATTTTCAGCTCATTCAGATACCATGTCTGTTTTATTGCTATTTCCCAGTTTCTATCACAGTGACACAGGTGCTTAAGATATATTTAAAGCATAGGTATGAAGCAAGGATTCTCAGCCTTTTATCTCTTTGAAGACCCTTCCTATGATTTCCTTTCCCCTTTTGCTCTGCAAATTCTGTAGGTAACGATATTGAGGCCACTAGGCAGCAAATTCCTTCAATTCCCTACAAATGTACAAACTTCTCTGCACCCCCAACTATAACTACAGTCTATCTCTTCTATTCTTCTTAAGAACCTCTTCCTCTTTACTGGTTTACAATTCCTCTAACCTCTCTGGCCCATTATTTTTGGCTAGATTTTAAATGTGTTCGACTCTATCTTTTAAAAAAATCACCCTCTTTTCCCACTCTGGCCAACCCTCTCATATTTTCAGGCTTCAATTCATTGTCTTATTATTCACTTTATTGTTTTTACTTCTTCACCTCTTATTCACTCCTCAGTTCTCTCCAATATAGTTTCTGCCCCAATCTTGCCAGTAAAACTACTCTTTGTAGATGCTAATTATTTCCTAATGTCCCAGTGCGTATTCCCATTGTAGATCTTACCATGATCTTTCCTTCTGTCTACAAAATCCTCTCCTTTTGTCATTCTGTAGTTTCTTCTGCAGTCTCATCCATCTCTATGGTTTAATGTCATGCCTTCAAAATTTCCCTCTCTAGACCAGCACTGATTTAAACTAAGACCAAAATATATACTCTTGCCTATTGAACATTTTCAACTAGATACCCTAATACACATTTCATAACATCCCAATCTTTTCTTTTTTTTTTTTTTTTTTTTGGGCGGTGTTGGAGATCAAACCCAGGACTTTTTCCATGCTAGGCAAACATACTTCTTAACAAACACGTGGGGGTAGATATGGGTTCTGCTTTATAGGTAAACAACCATTTTTCCTTTTGTTCATTGTAAGGTTATACCAAAAAAACTGAGAATGAAGTCTTTTTTATTTAGAAAGTATACAATGTTATAAACTTCCTATATTTCTTTGGCCTAAACAAATTTAGGTTTACATACAGGTGATGAGATACTAAGTGATACTTCTTTTAAAAATGATATATAAAAACATAAAATTGTTATTTATAACCACTCTACAGTGCATTAGCAAATCACAACTTCTTGCTCAACTCACAATTGTGGAAAGAGACTCTACACCATGGGGGCAGAGCCCTATGTTCCTGTGTACTACTTGGATTGACCTTTTTATTTTTATTTTATTTTTATTATTTAGTTTTATTTTAAAAAATAAGGCTAGTCTCTTCCTATCTTTAACAAAGCCTGCTTTCTTATTATTATGCCTTGCATTGTGCATCTGGCCCACTTCTTTACCACACTACATGATAATTATAATTTACACTTGCACAGTATTTCAACATGCTCCATATGCAACACCCAACTTGAGTTTCACAAATCTATAAGGTAAGTGTGGAAGGAACATTGTCCCTGCATAGTGAAGGTCTCAGAAGGACTAAGTAGTCTGCCCGGAGTTACAAACTTAGTAAATAAATGGCCTAAATGTAGGCCTCCTTGACACCAAACTCAACTCCTATTCTACCATACGGCATCTTGACTCTCAGACAGAGTTTGGATCCTTATTTTTGTAATGTCAATGTCCTCAAAGGAGCTTTGCCAAGGTCTCTTACAATAAATGATGTATACTTATGACATGGCTAGGGTTAGCTGTAAATTTTTTTTCTCAGAAAAAAATTCTTTTTCCTGGAAGGCTAATTTATATGGAAATTGATATTAACTTTGGCTTTACCTCCATTCAACTAAAGTAGCTGGGTTTTTAATGTTGTCTTATATGGCTTGGCAGGGCAAATGAATCAAGATATGGTCTATTTATAACCTACCATAAAAAATTAAGTGACAGAATATGTATAAAATAAGCAAACAAAAGTGGGGATATGTTTTATAAGTCAGATTAAAAATGGTATGAATGTACTCTGAAGGCAACAGATATTCATTCAGTCAACTAATCCAATTAATGAATGATTCTGCTACTTCAGCTCAAAGTTTTACCTATAATTAAAATGACCATATCACCCAAACAGAGAGTCCTCTGGTAGGGAAAGAGGGAGCTATTAATTATACCATAAAGCAGATGTAAACTGGGACTGTCCCAAAATAAAATACAAAATATGGTAACCTTATCTGCAAACAATTCAAACACTTTAATTTTAGTCTTAAAGAAGTTAAATCAGATTTACCTTGAAAAAAATTCATGGAAGGGTAGAAAAAACTTTAATAAGAAAAAAATTTTAAAGCAAAAGATTAATGAGGATGCTAATACTATACAGAAAGTAAAGTTTCTAAGTAAAATATTTCTTCCCAGATTTTTTCTTATCTGAATATTTATCAAAATAAGCATAGTTATTATGAAATAATTATAAAATCACAATTATAAAATAATTTCTAGGTACACTTCCCAGGAAACAACAAACTGAATGACAGTGACTTCAATTACTTACACAAGATGACTAATGCCAACTTTTAATGGCGCAATGCCCAAATCTGGGGACAACATGAGCTTTTTAAGGGTTAAAATAAAAGAACGGCACTTTGGAGTAAAGCTGAGAATTGGGGCGAGCAGAAGAGCATTTACAGTGGATTACTAAGCTTCCCAATTCACCAAAGAGGTAAAGTCCAGCAATATAAGACTCCTTTGTATCTAACTAAAAATACATTGTCAGTGGATTTGTCCAGTTTTATGTATAAGCAATACTTCTTTCACCTGAACTAATACTAGTAGTCATATAAGCCCCTTATTCCATGTGCTGCATTTTTTTTTTGCTAATCTTCAAGGATTTAGCTTCTTTGCCACATACCTCAGGGCACCAACTGATAAAGCTCTAGCGCTCCATTTTTCCAGGACACCAGCAGTGCGGCCTTGCAAAAAATGAAAATCGCTCAAGAGATTTAAAGGGGAAATTTATTTTTAAAATCCTGACTTGAAGCAAAGAGGTGGATTTTTAAAAAGCTTATCTATAAAGAATCAGTTTAAATTTAAATTCTATCTTGGAACTCTTTCATGCATTCCAGCTTTAAAGTTTATCTTTTGACAGGGACTTTCTACAAAGGTAATGGGGCAGCTTTGTCAATATAATCTGTCCAGGTTTATTTTATTTTATTTTTTTAATGTTAAACTCCTTTCACTTAAAAAAACAAAACAAAAACAAAAAAACTCACCATATATGTGTACTAGCTAGGGCAGCAGCAAGGCCAGCAAGTACTAGTTCAGATTCCCATCTATGCTAATACATCAGAAAATCCCATAACACTACTCATGAGAAGCCAAATCTCATCATTTTGAAAGATAAACTATGACTGGCAACCCTTCTGTTGTCTTACTTAGCAATTAAGGTCTTTACATTTCTTCCCTTTAGAAACAGTCTAATGACATGCTGCTCAGTTGTTTAAAATATTCAGAAGACAGTCAGAAGATGTCCGATTGTGGTTAAGTGTGACAAGTGGTGTCCAGCGTGGACAGTGAGACAAACCTGGGCTTTCACCAAGTAGGCAAAGTACTTTCAGATGAAGAGTAGGAGGCAGCCTTTGGTAAACTTCTATAAATTCAAACATACTTATCTATGCATTGAGTTACTGGTTTCTTCTTGGAAGAAATGTGGTAAGAAACAGGAAGGCAATGTTTTCCAACCATTTTAATGTGTTATTTTATTTACTAAAACTCTTAATTTCACTAGTCATGGCACCTGATAAGAGAAGACTGGAAATGAGACTATATTACTTTAAAGAGAAGGGAAGATGAAAACTTTTTGCAAAAGGGACAATACAGTAAGACTATCATTTGATGAAGAATAACCTGTTTAAATTTAATAAAAGATTATTTGGAGGCAAATCCTAAAGGATTTGGGATAGATTAAAGAAACATTAAAAACTTTAATTATTATTCAGATTACTGAAGTCATTAGGGCTTTGAGGACATCCTTTTCCTGTTCTTTAAAACATGGCAGTTAAATGGGAGCTCTTTAAGGTTTCTTTGAGGACTAACATTTCATTCAAGTGCTGAAGTCACCTTACTCTTGATGGTAACCCTTCTTTCTATCTGGCTCCCTAGCATCTCATTACTCAGATACTCCAGAATGGACAGTGGGGCCTGAGAAGGTCCCAGGGGTAGAGCAGAACCCAGGCTCCAAGTTCCATGTCTTTCCCTTGCTCTGTGGCAAATCACTCAACCTTTCTTTCTGTGCACACTTTTGTCAACTGTCAAATAGGTACAGTGACATCAAACCCACAGAACTGTTTGGAGGATCATATGATGAAGTTCTGGCTACTTGACACTTCAATGTACTCAGAAGTGATAGCTGCTAATACCATTTCTTATTCAGTTTAGTTCTTTCAATAGCCAGGATTAGCTCAAATGAAACAATTCAATAGTCAGTAGGATAATTTTTTGAGAATCCTTTTAAAGTCTATGGGCTTTCCATTATAAACAGCTTTTAATTATCCACAGGTTGATTATCAACATTATTGGTTATGTTTAAGAACATTCTAAATTGTCAGTCATTTGCTCATCTTAAAATGACACAAAACAGTCTTCCCTTAGTTTTCTCTATGAGAAGGCAGAAGAGGTCGTTTATTCAAACTTATATATTAAAGAAGGTATGAAACTATTGTTTTTAAACACAGGTAAACAACACAATGATACTGTGTCTTCCTGGTATGAATGAGAGGCAGAGACAGAGGGAATGAAGTAGAGGTCCAGTAAGTTGTGAGAGGTTCATGATAGCTAGGAAGTGGTGGGGTTGGGATTTCCATCCAGATCAGTATGACTATAAAACCCCATGCTCTGTATTCACCGTGGCCTATTTATCTACAGGTAGGGATGTCATCAAGAATGTCAGCATTTTTGGGCAACACTCTTCTGTGCCATCCACAGCATATTCAAATAAGAATATACTCAATTATAAAACCACATTCCCTAGTATGACATACAGACTTTGATTTATCTTCTATTTAAGATGATAGGTAGAGCTGGGATATAGCTCAGCAATAGCATGCCTGCCTAGCATATGAGAAGAGGACCTAGATTCAATCCCTAGTAACAAAAAAAAAAAAAAGGAAAGAAAAGAAAGATTATAGAAACAACTGTCCAGTTCCACCACACCAACGTAAATAACATGTTTTCTTCACAATGATCCTCTTCCAAAAAGAAGGATCTAAACCCCAAAGATTTATGTTTGGAATAAATTAAGCCATGTAATGTACAAGACTGACATGTACAGAAATAAAAATTTTAAACTGCTCTGTAATGTACTGTTAGGTTGATTTCTGCTAAAGCTATTACGCTATGTTTACGACTAGTCACCATAATTGCTTTTAGCAGGTTTTTCTTAAATAGTTTGGTCCCATTTTAAAATAAATGACACAACTGATTCTCAATGCTAACTAATGCACATTACTGCTCACGAAAGGGAACTGAAAACTTGTATGCATTAATTCACTTACCCATTTTTTAATTTAATGTAGGAAAGCATAATGGTTAGGAATTACAACATCTTGCTGGCCTGGATTGAAATTCTGGCTCCTGCTCAATGTTATCTTGGGCAGGTTTGTTCATCTTTCTAAGTCTCAGTTTTTCATCTTAAAGTGACAATTATTACAGTACCAACCATAGAGGGTTGTGATAAGGGCTTATACAAGGAGCTCATTATAGTATTTAGCACATAATAATCACTCAATGTTACTATTTTGTTATTTCTAGTGTTATCATCTCTTAGTGTTATTTCACTAAAAATGAAACACTTAAGGATTAAAGAAACTAAAAACTTGCTCTGGCCTCTTACTCCAGGTCTGCTGGATTCCACAGCACAAAGTCCTTCTACTCCCCAAGCAAATCCTTGTTTAATTATGGTATCTTTATTGGTCCCTGGTATTGATAAATGTGGATAAGACTGGGAAAGACTTTATAAGCAGGCAAAAGAACATGGAGAGAGTTTTAAATTTATGCTTATTTTCTTACTTTGGTGGATATGTTGAGAAAACTTGTAGCCCACATGTAACCCCATTTCAGATACACTTTCAATTACTTTGCTTGGCACTTGGGGGATTAGGTAATGCTGAACAAAAGAAAGTCTTCATGTTTATATTAGTATCCTTGTCAACGGATTCCATGGTTGCACTAGTCTTTATCTCTTCCTACTGACACAAAGGACTAAACTTGAAAAGAATATTAAGAAAGTAGAAATAAATTTTTAAAAAGTATAGCTGACTCACCTGTACTAACAGGTTGGCTAGTTTGGTCAGATGAAGTAGCAAACTCTAGGTTTCTACAATTTTATGGGTTAACTCAAAATGGATAATAAAACCACCATCACCATTATCTTCATTTACTCAGATGGCATTTACTTATGTGCCACATATAGTACTATGCACGTCTTGTATGTTATCTCATTTAATCTTCATATAAGCAACATGCCCAATTTCTCAAAAGTTAGGATTTGAACTCAGGTCTAACTCTACAAGCAACACTATTATTTGAAATGGTCTTATAAGACAGTTGGACCCTGATAATCTTTGTTCATTTCCCTGATCCATAACCCATCAAAACAGATACAAGAACTTGCAGCCTTCTGTCAGGTAAAATCTGGTAACTGAGCCTTTGCCTCACAGAGATAGTCAGAGGGATTTTTCTTTTCCCATGTCAGGCAGATCCTGGGAAAAGCACAGAATGCTGTTATAGACTAATCTGCTGGCTTCACTGATATTCATAATGGCTGCTGAAACAATGTTTCTGACTTTCTGAAGTTCAGAGTGATGAAAGTGACAGCAGCGTGTTTAGTGTACTGAGCACTGAGAAGCTAGGTTACTACATACGTGACGGATAAATGACTAATTACTGCCAGACAACACCTCTGACAATAAACATTTCAAAATGTGGGGTGTATCTGTAGTACATATGACCTGGTTCTTGCTAGTTATGTGATCTTGATCTTGGACTGGTTTCTCAGGGTCAGTTTCTCATTCATAAATGTTAATAATAATACCTGCAGAATCTATGTCTTAGATGTGTTAGGAGGAGAAAACAAAGTGTGCAGAAGTGCTTTAAAACCAGACATGTACCATATAAAAACAACATAATAATTTAATGATAAATGATTTTAAAAACAGAAATAAAAGTTAGGTTCTTGAGTCTTATTAACTGGGCAGATGTTCAGTTATTGACAAAAGAATTTCTGTTCTATTTCTTTATGTTTTAGAATAGCTAAGGGGGACAAAGAAAGGCAGAAAAATGTGACAGCTGCCATCACCACTGTCAGTCAAGCTAATTTTTCTAGGTAAGTTTGAAGTTAAAAGCATTGCAAAATTATTGGTCACAAGTTTGCCATAGGTCAAATATATTATACTTACATTATGTGGAAAAATTACTGGGTATTATTTTGTAGCCAAGTTCAAACAGGATCACTTTTAGAGGGCAGGAAAAGTATCTCTGATGAGCTCTATGGATGGCATCATGAATACCGAGCCATTTGTTTAGAAAGTTTAAAAGAAATGCTTAAATGAACCAGTCAACCACTACGGTAATCCCAAAACCTTGGAGGAGAAACCACATCTTGCTCCCACGAGACCAAAGTCCTGGCTCCTACAACACTGAAGCATCTAATCTTTCTCTGGAAAGGATCTAACTGTTCATTGGATGGACTCTGTGAAAGTCAGATCTACTGACATGGTAAAACATCTCTGCTGTGTGGAATTACTTTCTGCCCATAAACCAGATTGCCAGATCAGTTTAGATGATCAGGCTGAGACACTTAGAAATGATTTCTAATCTTGTTAAAGCAGGAAATAAAAGAAGAGATGCTACTGAAAGTACTGTAGACAGCCATAAGCTAAATAAATGCCAGAATGGCATTCTAATCAGAAACCCCTAGTCCACGATCCCTCCATGGGCCTTACTATCCCCTAAAGTAAGGACATGGTCTCACACATTCTTAAGAGATGTGCATGTTGTCTTTCTGGTATCTAAGAGTTGACACAAAACATCAGGCAGTAGACTTGATAAATGAACACAAATATTACTCACAATTCAGGATTATGGATTTTAAAGAGCTACCTGAGATTAGTATAGTGAATGCATAGTCTGTCATTGGATCCCTCTTTTTATGAATTTTTAACATAGTCTAGTGTACTTGGAGCTTGATTACAACTTTAAAATTAAACTTAAAACCTCATTACAAACATACTTCCAGTTAAGTTATGGGCAATTTATATCCAAAACACAGATATAATTGCTGGCTTTGTTTACCTGTGTCTCTCACTAGGACTTTGTTCAGATAGTGCCGAAAATGATAAACTGCTTACTTTTTCATGCTTGTGTTTCTCCTTTTCTTTTTCTCTCTTCTCTCTCTCTCTTTTTTCTTTCTCCCTTTCCTTCTCTTTCTTCTCCTTTTCCTTCTCTTTTTCTTTCTTTTTCTTCTTCTCTTTTTTGTCTTTTTTCCTTTCCTTCTCCTTAGGTTTTTCTTTTTCCTCAAACAGTTTTTCTGGGAGCATTGGCGACAAGGCAGGCAGCACAGAAGGGACCCTTACCGTTGTGGCAGGGCTGAAAAGGGGCAGCGCCATTTCTTTTGGGGGCAATAACAGTGGCGTGGGTGGAGCCTTTGCCTTTTCTTCTCTACCTTTGTCTTTAACTTTTTCTTTTTCTCGTTTATCTTTATCTCTTTTCCCCTTTTCTCTATCTTTTTTCTTGTCTTTATGCTTCTCTTTCTCCTTCCTTACGATTCCATCTTTCAATCTCACTTTTGAATCAACATCTTCAAATTCTTTTATTTTAAACTTATAGGGATCTGAATCCTCATCTTTAAGAAACTCCTTCCATGGGTATTTTGTTTCCTTGCCAGCTTCTTTTTCCTTCTCTTTCTCTTTCACTTTATCCTTCTCCTTACTTTTCTCTTTGTTTTTGTCTTTTTCCCTCTCTTTATCTCGCTGCTTTTCTTTCTTTTTCAATTTAGTCTTCAGCTCTTTTTTCAACTTCTTCTTTACCTCCATTGATGAAGGCGGCTTGGTTTTCTCCTCATACACCTTGTGGAGAGGCTCGGGAGTGGGAGGAGACACTGAAGGAGAAGAGATATAAGGAAAGTTGGGAGGCATACTGGAAGGTGTTCCCAGTTTTGCCTTCCGTACAACCTCATCAATGGAGGCATCCATTGTCCATGAGTTATCAGAACTGGAAGTTCCACCTGAAAGAGGCAGAGGAGTGGATCCTGACTTTGTGAAATTGTTTGAAGAAGTGGAAGCTTTTGGAGTGGTACACTCTGAACCTGAAATTCTCTTAGGGCTCGTAAAAATGTCTCCTTCGGATTCTGATCCAGAAGAAAATTCAAAAGGATCTGGCTCCCGTTCAGCACAGGCTCGGGCAATCACAGCATCAATAGAGTCATCGATTGTTTTATCAGTCACAATAGCCTTTTTCGGCTGAGTCTCATTGTTCAGTTTCCCAGCATCAGGGGGAGTTTGTGTTTGTTTCACCTGGATGGTCTCTTTACTAATTTTTTCACTTATTGGAGCTGCAGGAGTCCTATTTGGTGTCTCAGGTCTGACAGGTACTGGGGGAATATGAGTCATAATCTTGGGGCTCTTGGGGCTCTTGGGGCTCTTAGCACGTCCAGGTGACTTCTTTTCTTTGGATATACTTTTGGGTGACCGAATAGGACTTCCGACCATTGCTGGTGATGGGGTAGTTTTAGGTGATTTAGTCTTTTGACCTGGAGAACTAGTTTTAGTCTTTGTTTTGGGTGTAAATGACTTTGCTTCTAATGGTTTTGCAGTTGGCATTTGTGATTTTGCAACAGGAGCCAACATTGGGGGCTCTGGTGATGGAGGTGCTAAGTCTGTACTGTCCTGTACATGGACTGGCGAAAGCATTGGTGGAATTTTTTGTGTATTTATTGAGCTGAGAGGTTCTCGAGCTTCCAATAATACTACATCCAGCGTGTCCCCTTTAGTGCTTAATAGTCGTGGTCGCTTCATGGCAGGCATTTCTTCAGCTTCAGGACTATCCAGTGGTCTCTTACCCAGGAAATTCTCATCATTAATAATTTCCTCCTCTTCCAATTCATCATCTTCCTCCAAGGGAACCTGCATGGCTTCTGCCGATGTGCCCCCATCAGTGGGCACCTGTTCCTCTTCTTCCTCTGGGAAAGGAAGAAAAAAGACATATTACTGCAATGCAACAAAACCTAATAAAAACAATGCTTCAAACATGATTTGGAGGAAAGAAAAGAAAGTTGCGGAGTGTTTAAAGAGTAAAGCAGTAAGTTTTCAAGGATCTTTTCAGTCTGGACACTATCATCATTTTAAGCATGGCAATCAGTGACAGCAGGTTTACAAACAAATAATTGTCCTAACATTGGGATCTGGACTTTGCTGAGTTCTTCCTCTCTCCCCATCTCTCCTGCCTAGCAAGGGTAAGGCCTTGAGTTCAAACTCCAGTATAAAAAAAAAAAAATCAAGAGATGGACTGTTATATAACTACTATTCTCAGAAATAACAGACAGACATAATTTTTTTTTACTTTTGTAACAAATTTTAATTCTCTGGACACAATTCATATCTTACTTGTATCTTCTGTTTTGCTAGATGGCAGGCACTTGAAAAGGCAGCATGGCAAATGCAATACATTTGGCTTAGACATTTGAACAATGATGTTTTCCCTAGTGGTCTAGCACTATACAGCAAAATGCCTTAGGCAATCTCCCAACCTACTTGAGCCTGTTTCCTGACCTTTCAAAAGGGGCTAATGTTACTTGCCCTGCCTATTTGACTGAGTTGTTGCAAAATCCAATTATTTATTTCTACACATATTAACAAAGCATATAATGCACAATGATAAAGGCTGAAAGAGGTACAGGAATAATTCATGACCTCAAAGAGCTCACAGGATAGGGGGGGGAAATAATGTTTGTGTGTAGCACATGGTAAGTAATTAGTGCCAAGGCAGATAAAGTGATATGGGAGTTCAAGGAGAATCAGATTACTACAATACCAAGTGTGTGGGGAAGAACTCTGTAATTATGTAGTGTTTGGAATATTTGGAGCTGGGAGTGATGAAGTCCAGGATGAAGGATTAGATGACAAAGAGATGAAGGTGGAGCATAGAAAGTATCTAAGAACCAGGGGATAATTTAATTTGTTTGGAAAATAGGATGTAAAATGAGAACACTAGAAACAACGTTTAGCAAAGTTGCATCCAGATCCTAGGATTTTTGAATTCCAGAAGGAATACGACTTTTATTCTACTGGTAGATCGGACATAGTTAGGCTTTCAGACAATGGAGAAAAACACTGGAGTATGTGTTAGGAAAATCATACTGGCAAGAACAGGTATGATGGGTGGGGCTGGGAGGCAATAGACACTAAAGGAGAGTGGACAAGTTAGGGGTTATTGAAATGATGCAGGTAAGATGCAATAAGAATTTGAACTAGAATAGTAGAAACAAATAGGAAGCAATAGAGGTAAATGATATCCTTAAGACAGAATGGATAGAATCCACTAACAGAAATAAGAAAATACAGAAGGATGATGATTAGCTCAATCCCTAGACACAGAGTTTGATGGGCATTTAGTCAATGATGTATCTAGCTGAAATACACTAAGTTCAGAAAAGAGGGCAGAGTATGTGAGAAAAGCTTTGTTGAGATAATTAACATCACAGTAACAGAAGTACAAGTGAGAGTGAAATAAGAGGTAATGGTTTCAAACATCTGAGGACCATCTATACGTAAAGAAGAGAGGAAGGAGAACTGAAGAAGTACACGGAGAATCAGATGTCAAAGAGAGTTTTTAAAAGGAAACCTAGTGAACAAAGCCAATGCCTAAGAGATCAGTCAGAATGGAAGCTATTAGCAGAAGTCAGGCAACAAAAGCACAAGAGGTGACTGACAGGGAATGAATGCCATGATGTATGTGAAAGTACTCTGCAAACTATAAAGCACAATGCAACTTCAACATGTAATTATTTCTGCCATTACTTGGTAATGACACCATCATCCATCTAGCACTCAAGGTAGAAACGTGGGAATCATTTCAGACTCCTTCTTTTCTCACTTCAACTCTAGTCTGAACTTGAACACAGTTTCCTGCTTTGTTCCCTTGGAGGTACTTTCCCCACTGCTGTAGTCTTCTTAGTAACAACCTGCTAACTAGGCTGCTTTCAGGCATCTTCCTTAGAATACATACCCTTTAGGTGAGTTTATGAGCAGCACATCTGAGTGTGTTTCCTCATCCTAAGACTTTTCCTTTTTGCTTTAGTTATTTTTTTAGGTACGGTCTTGCATTTTTGCCTGGGTCGGCCTCAGACTGTGATTCTCTTACCTAGGGGCCTCTGACAGTTGGGATCACAGCTGTGAGCCACTTCACTTGGCGCTCTTGCTTAGTTATTTTTCAGATAGTACCTTGTGCTTTATGTTTGAGGCTGGCTTCTCACTTGATCCTCCCACCTCCGCCTCCCAAGTAGCTGGGATCATAGCATGAACCACTGTGCCTGGCCCTAAGACTTTTCACTAGTCCTATCAGAAGGAGTTTGCAAGATGTACCTCCTTGGATGCTAAGGGTTATATGGAATCCTTTCTGAGACTGCTGCCCAGTAAGATGTGATCTCCTCTTATCTATTAAATGCAAGAGCTACTTCTAGGGTTATCTGTTTTACATGCTGAGCAGCCACAAAAGCTTTGTTGTGAAGCTAAAACATGCTTGAAAATCACCATTTTAAAATATAAAAATCCAATTTCCCCAGCATGACTGATAAAGGTGCTTCATCATCCATTTCGGTACCTAACCTCATCATTTACAGTGAGCCCAAGTGCGCCACCCATCCTAGTCATGCTAACTTATTTGCGGTTTCTGACATATACAGAGCTGTGTCACACTTCTGTGCCTATGCACATGAAACTCCTTGTGCCTGTCATCCTTTGCACTCCTAACACGCCAGTGACTATCTCTTCTAAGATTGCCACCTAATGTTACACCTCCTATAACACATTTTCTTAGCAAGACAGCTTCTCATCCACTTTGGGCTCTACCATATTCTGGTTATACATACAACAAAGAAAACCTAGGACATTTACTATCTGGCCCTTTACAGAAAAGGTCTGCCAATTCCTGGGCTAGACCTATAATATTCAGGTCATCTGAACGCTTCCTTCCCTTCCTATTCTTGTGAGAATGACAGGACAGACTTTAAACTGCTAACAGGAAAACATATGAAAAATCAAGAAAAAAGACAGCTTTAGGATATTCTCCAGGTAAGTGAAAACTCTTAGAATACTTATTAGTATTATATTTCTAAATTTCAAGGAGCCTCCTTTTACTCCACAGAGATTCATATCTTTCTGCTAAAGCAAAAAGATAAAGGTTTGGTCTAGGCAACATAACAAGGTTGTGGGATATGTTAAAATGCACTTTGTTCTTCTAACTCTGGAGGCTAATTTGGATCTAGATTAGCTCTGAGAGTGAGTCTCCTAGAGAGAACCTGAGGGAAGTACTGAGAGACCAAAGGGAAATTGCTCTAACATAAGCAGTTCCTAGAAAGGGGAATTCAGGTCTACTAGTAAGATAGTCCTAGTTCCTCCAAATGTAAGAACCTATTTTATAATTACAGCCCTTGAACATTTGTGTTTTCTGTATGAGGTGTTTGAAACTATTGTTTTAATAGTGTAAAACTCTATCAGATTGGAACTGGCAAGATGGCTACCAGACAGGTATTTGAACTGAAGGAGGTATGTCAGGCTTGGCTAGGAAAAAATGCAACGGTTTCATACAATTACTTTAGAAAATATACTGGCTCATTTTGAATTTAGAGCCCCAATAACTCATAAAAGTATTTTAAAAATAAATGGTAGTTGTTTGTTTAAGAAAAAAAATAAAGCTTGATTCAAAGTAGGGCTTCAAAAGCTAGTAGGGATTATTCTGTTTTTGTTGTTTTATTTTGCCTTTTGTTAAGTCCCTGCTACCAACTTGTATTAGTGTAGATTTAAAGAAATACACATTGACTGCAAAATTAAACTATTACAAATGTTGATTTCTGGAACACCTAAAACCACAAATGTTTTAAAAAAGATCTTTTAAAGAACCAACAGAGTACTAAGTCATGATTTCTTATTTACTTTTAAAGATTTTATAAGAAAGGTTCCATTGCAACATCAAAATCAACTAAAATGAAATAAAACATCGTTGGAAGAGAAAGCTTTAAATTTTTTAAGAAATACAGGAAAAAGAGGGAAGATACTTAAACAATTTTTTTTTGCAGTACTAGAATTTGAACTCAGGGCCTCATGCTTCTAGGCAGGCGCTCTACCACTTGAGCTACTCAGCTGGCCAATCAATATTTTTTTTAATGAGAAATTATCTGATACCTCACAGGGGCACAGGCAATATACATGTACAGCATAAGGCACAAAAGTCAACATGAACCCATGAGACCACCATCTAACTTAAGAAATAGAACATTAGCGATTATCATTCCAACTCCTTTGGCTCCTCTCCCTCACCACCCCCCATCCCTCACTTTTTCTGTTCCTATCCCCAGCCTTTAACTACCTATTGTTTAAGAATGACCCATTATTCCCTTCATTCTGCTATAGTTTTACCACATTTGCTTGTTAAATGATATCACTCAATAATGTTCTGCTTTTTTTAATCCAATATTATATTTTCTGAGATCCACCCAGGTTGACACAGTATTGTGGTTCATTCATTTCCATTGTTGTCCTACACTTATTAATCCTTTCTCCTGGTAGGGAAGTTTTCCACTTGAGTCAATGTATTTTAGAACTATTACCAACTTAAAATGAATAAATACAGTTGATCTAGCATGTGCCTGCTCAAACCCAAACTCAGTTGATGGTTACACATGATGAGTTTCTGATATTTTATTACACAGATAATTTTAATTATTTATTCTAAGAGCTTATAATGAGATAGATGCATGCCAGCTATTAAGTGGTTTACTCTTTCTAAAGGTTCATTTCAGCTGAATAGCACTTGGATAGCAATGAAGTATTCTTTGCATGCATATGTGTAATGAGCACTATTTACTAACAATCCATAAAATACTTTTCAAGTGTTTATTTCCTGTGTTTACCTGTATAAATAGTTTTACTACAAACTACTTCTACTGTCTCAATATTCTGAAAC